TTTTAATGAGGCAGAGGCAAGGATGAAAAGGATAAAATCTCACTTCCCGGTCACATCATAGTGAGTAACCGGAAATTGGGGGGACTATCTGTATTAGTGAAAATTAGACTTGACATGTGGGTCTATTAAATGGCGACACGTGTCAGTAAAGTTTGAAGAAAAGTGAAGAATGACATGTAAAGATGATATGTGAAACACCCCTGGGACCGAACATACTCATACCGTGCCTGTTAGCCCCGAAACTGATCATCATGAAATAGCCCAGATCAGGTGCGGGAGAATATCTCATAATTACAAATGAGAAAGGAATAAATTAATTCCAGATTATATGGGATTTACCATCATTACACCATCAGTTACAAATCAATTATTAATAAATGCAATAAATGATTGTAACGGTCAGAACAAGGCAATCAATTACGAGATTGACTCAACAGGCACGAGATTGATTCAACAGGCACGAGATTGACTCAACAGACACGCGATTGACTCAATAGGCACGCGATTGACTCATTAATTACGGAATTAACTCATCAGTTATGGAATTAACTCATCAGTTACGGAATTCCAGCATTTACACAGCTGTTACAAGTCTTCCAAAAGTAATGGATGGATTGAGTAAATGCTCATAATGGACCCATAATCCAAGGAGACTAGTTACTTAGATTTAGCCCTATAAATAGACATACTTTTATCACCATCAGGGGAATCTAATTTTCTTCTCTACAATTCTATACATTGTAATTCATAGCATCTTGCTCCCAAGTTAGCCATAGTTCGGCCCTTCAAACTTTGTTCGACTCATTATCCTATCAAGGATCATTCAATAAGAATTTTTTCTTCTCTGCTTTATTTTTATTATATTATATGTCATTGAATTTATTTCTCACTTCTCTATCACGTTGTATTAACGAAATTTTATATCTTTCGAATTGAATCGGTTGCTTGTGGCCCGTCATATAAAATTATTGCTTTGACCTTAAAAACTATTTTTTGGGTTAAACAAAACCTATAACCAAAGAAATAGGCATTGAGTACTTTTTGCGTATTCAAGAAGCTTGAAGGTTTTTCAAGAACAAGAATAGAAAAGAACATACTGTGTTTCTTCAATAAGTGGTTCGCCTTCTTTTTGAAATTCATTGACTGCATCTTGCCATCCATCATCTATGATCAGGAATTTTGGTGAACATCCTCCTTCTAAGAAACTTCAAAAAACAGAAATCAAAATTCTATTATTGAGAGAGGAAATTTGCAGCATATTCCATTTGAAGAGCGAGATAATTCATAAGCGCAGTGAATAATCAAACCTTTGAAGACCTGCTTTGATACCAGCTGGATTAACTTCTTTATAGAAAGCATCCCACGTGCACCATCCGAACCAATCTAAGTGGGCCGGGATCTGAATTTAGAACAGAAGACAAGTTCAGTTGAAAGCCATTTAACTAAATTAACAAAGCTTACATACTAATTATCCTTCCAATTCATGTTACCTTTTTGTTCTCGATGTGACTGAATGTACCCTTGTGCTTTTCCAGAATCCTGAGACAACAGAATTTAAGCGTCTACTAACAGAATAAGAAGAACTTCTCCAATTATAAGTGGATAGATAACTCACTTGATGGAATCTTTCATAAGTTCATATGGATTGTCTCCTGAATTAACAAAAACTGCTTCATATGATAGTGAAGTTTGGACATCCGGATCACCTTAAATCAGCAGATTCTGGAACGAGTTACTATAATTGCAATGCAAGAAACTGAGGAGCAATAATTTCAGCATATTATGATGTTTAAAGAAGCTAAACTTACCACTTTCAACACAGAACTGGAGCTCATTCGATGAAGTTCCTTGCAAACTTGATCGAAATGGCCCTTCCAGAACAGGTAATAACAGAATATAAAATTTATTTTCAGCAGCAGGATCTGCAGAAGGTTCCTCATCCAAAACAGCAGATTCTTCTCCGGCTTCTAGGAGAAGCATCTGAGTTTCCATTGGAACTTCACTTCCTGATTTTCCTACACGGGGAATCATCCACCAAATCTTCACAATAAAGAGGCATAAGAATTTGTAATCCCTGCAAAAGTTATTCCTCAAGAGTTGAAACTCTTAATGCTGCTGGAAAATAAAATAACAATGGCAGATCAAATCCCTAATTCTATTATAAATATTTCCAAATTTCCAGATACTTACTCAAGAACACCAAGGTTAAAGACGTGATGAGAACCACTTGTCGTTGATTTAGCTCCCAGAAATGCAGAACCAGAGCTTGCTGATGTAATAACAACATTTTCCGGCATCCTAGTTAAGACAACCTTGCCACGAACCATGAGACATCCATCTTTAATTATTGGATCACCTGTTATTGTCATGCTTGCTAATTGTTGCTCTACTAGAAAAGCTGCAGAACTTTTGTATATACTGAAGCTTTACTAATAAGATACACAAATCCAAGTAGCAAAAGTTGAAGAATATGTATATTCAAAAGGCCTAGTTTAATGCTATCGAAAATGACAATGCCAAAATTCTAAGCAGCCCCTCTAGATGTAAAGTGGATGGTTGTAGCTGATAATTCAAGAAACTGAAACTATCGAGATAAAGATATTAACTGGGAGCTCTACTGATTTATAAGGGTGATTCAGGAGAAAAATATCAAAGCCAAGGGAAGCAAGGAAAGGACAAAAACATGCCATTGGACAATTTTGTGAAAGCGATTGATGTTGGAAGAAACAGCAGATTTTTTTATTTTTTTTTAGATAATGATTTGGGACCAACCCAAGTGGGATTGACATGGGTATGAGTCATCATCGAAGGTTATTTCCCCTATAATTACCAACCATTCGATAAAATCAAGCAATCCATGAGTTTAGCAGCCAAGAGAATTGAAACTAGGTTGTCCAATCCCATCACCAAATGCAATATTTTAGGTTCTTTTTACAGAGGGTTACAAATTACAATTAGCTTCATCTTTTGGACTCACTATGGTCAAACGTCACTGAAATATTATTTTTATGCGAGAAATTATTTTATTTTCCTTATGAAACATTACATGTACATGTGACTCTAAAATCTAAGCAGTTCAAACTATTCTCCACCATAAGCGCTGAAACTGAAGTTAATCATTATTATCATCTGCTGACCTTGATGGATAGATTCTTGATAGATCCTTACAAGAATTATCACTAAATAATTAATCACATGTCTCATGTTACCCTAAAATCAAAACAGAAAAAAGAAAGAACAAAAAAAAGAAGAGACGTTGGACTTTCAATTGTCTATTGCCATAGTATGCAGGAGATATGCCAAATGAAATTAGTGAGGTGGACGTTCCAAAAGTATAATATTTATATTTGCTACCTTCTTATCATTAATTTTTTGGAGATTCAACAGAAGAATAAATTCAATGTCTATTTTACCCATTTACTGTCACAGCGTGAAGAACTTTGCATCTCGCTTGAAAAAGGAATTTATATTTGCTACCATCTTATCATTATACTAGTTTCTGGACACGTGCCTTGCACGTGTATCCCATGCTAATTGGTACAAATATTTCAAGATGGTATATATTTTGTGATGATTCTTTTTTTTTTTTTACAAGAAGTATAGAAAGCTGGAGAAGAACACTCTTATATCAATAAAGTATAACAAATATTGGTAAACCATAATGTATATATTGGCATAAATAATAACTTTAAATTTCTTCCAAAATGCATCTACAAGAAACATTATCAAACAATAACATTACGGTTTCATTTCTTCCCGCAAGGCCAGATATACCTAGAAGTAAATTACATTGAAAAAAAAAATAACTTTTCCCCTAATTTTTGTATCAAGAAAAAATGAGGGAATATCTTTGTAGAATTCCTTCAAGAATAAATAATGATAAATAGAAAGAAGCAGTAAATAACTGTTAAAAAAAGAAGAAGAAATATACCGTTACTTACCAAAATAAAAAAGAGAAATATGATTTTAGTAATGGTCATGATCCCGTGCAAAAGAAATTGTCAAAAGGACAACTCAAGATGCATTTTGAACCTATAATTTATACCTCATCCCTTGCACTCAAGGGACAAAATTGCTGCAGATGAAGTGACTGCAAGAGGAAACATTTTTACTAAATAACAAAAGCAAGAAATACAGTAATAACAATAGCAAAAACCAAAAACAAAATTGTCAGTGGGAAGGAAGAAAAAAGAAAACTAAAATAAAAGGCTGATATGAAATGCCCTAAAAAATTAAATGAAAATAAAAGTAAAGTATAAAACAGATATTAAACGCTCCATAAAATTGACCATCTGGTGATAGCCTCATGCTTCACGCCCCATGATTTTTTAGCAATATCATGGGTCCAACTAACAACGAGCATGCTTGATCATAGTCATTTGACTGTCCTTCATACCAACACACAGAACTAGTGGCTCTCTCATAAAAAATTAATCAACAATAATAAGAATACATATATAATGTAATTTAAAATCCAAATGATAAGGCATGTTACCATTCAGTTATTTTGCTGTGATGAGGATTTGGTTTAGCAAAAGGCTTCATGGTACATAGTGTGGAGCAGCGAAGGTGAAGAAAAGGAAATAGATTTAGAGTAGTGGAACAGACTTTACAATATTTAATTATGAGTAGTAAACTGATGGTTTTAGTAGTGGAAGTTAGAAGGGCAAAAATTAACACTCAATAAATAGTAGAAGATGTAAAAATTCTTAATTACCTTGTATTCTTAATTGTATTTATTCATTTAATAGAATTTTTTTTTTTGAAGAAGGCCAAAATAGTCAATTAAAATTTTATGGGTATTTTCGTAAATCAACTTCACACTAAGGGGCTTCCCACTAATAATATAATATATGATGATGTTGGAGCAGCGAATATAAGACGAAGTAGCACTATGATGCAAAACTAATTGCAGGCCTAAGAATAAAGATTTTGGATGACACGCTTGATCACAATGCCTATCATTAAACTTACAAATAAAACATAAATCTTACAACCTGTTCAAACTCTGAATTCTAAATGTAATAATATCAAATAATCAAATAGAAAGATAAATGTGTGGAAATAGGAATCCTGAAACATGAGCATTTCCATTCAGACTGCTATCTATATGTTACATCTTCAAAAAAGCAAGTAGGAAATGGTGAGAGATACCTATATGTTACATCTTACAGAGGTGCCACCAGGTGACGAACAATACAAAATAGTGAGAGATTACAAAATTGAGGTGAAGAATCTCAACAAGATTAACTCCGGAAATAACAGTAACCAAGTCAACTGGCTGGATCTTAGCAGGAGATGTCTTTACCAAAAAGTTCACTTATTCCTTTAGTAGGATCTGGCTGTTTTACAAGTGACTCTCCAACTAGAACCTACAGAGATGCGAAAAAAACGCTATCATCATATATGATTGACAAAGACAAAGGATATAAATCAAAATATTGTATTGATCAAAATGAATGTATCATGCTAGATGGTGATAAACATAATTTTCAAATGAAGACAGAAGGATCTAGGCAAAATCATATTCGGGGAAATAGCACTACTATCCTCTATCCGTTTTAATATAGTTATATACAGCCGTTATTATGAATATCAAAATTATTATGGCAGCTTACCGCTTTGACACCGGCTTCTTGTACATAAGCAATATCAGCTGGAGTAAATAGTCCAGACTCCCCAACCACCTGAAGAATTAAAATAGAAATTAACATCACAACTTATAGAGAGAGAAAATACTAAAATAACAGCTTAACATGATGTATTGAAGATCATACAATTATGCCCTTCTCACGGATCCTTTCTCCACGCTCTCCTTCAAGAAGCTTTTTTGTATTGCTAATGTCCACCTTGAAAGTTCCTGGTAACAGAAGAAGTTTATTTAGTTGGCAAGTCCTAGACAATTGAAGAGTACAATGATCAAACATGTTGCTTATAACTTTATTTATTATGTTTGTACATTTATCCCTAGCTGCCCTATATGTAGCCAGAAAGCATGACTTTCTATGGAAAAGAACAGGGATTTAGAATCTCTTACTTAATGTAGGAACCTTGATCCTTTTATCCAGAGTTTATTTTGTTTAATTTCCTTATAAAGTTAGTNGTAACAGCATGTATTGCATCGAGAAACGAGTAGATTGGTGGTATAGAATTCATTATGCAAATTACCAAGGTCTCTATTATTGATGCCAATAAGCTCAACCCCGTCAATTCCGAGGACACGATCCATTTCCCTCTCATCATGCACCTAGAAGAAGGACAAGAAGTTGAAATGGTTATTATAAGGAAAAGAAATAAAACAGAGATACAGAAAGGAAGCTTGTTTCTCTTGGAAAAGTGAGAATCCTTGCAATGACAGAAAGATATCAGCATCAATAAAGGATTGTAGTTTATAATAAGAATAAATAGAAATCCAAAAACCAATATATGCAGATTGAAAACACTCTTTCATGAAGAAAATAACTTATACCAAATATCTTTCATATCCATGAAACATAATAACTGCCTCGAACAAATGGAAGCTGACATTTCCTTTTCGTCAATGAAAGATAAAGACAAATTTTTGTAAAAATACCGATGCATAGATTTTGAATTATTTGCCTTTCAGTTCGTGGAATGGTCAAAAGTAGGAGTGGATATAGTAACAATTTACCTCAACTAGTGCTGTCAATCCAAGTAATTTGCAGATCTTAATCATATATTTGATGTCAAGATCTGGTAGAACAGCAGCAATTAACAGAACTGCATCGGCACCTTTAACCCGAGCATAGTAGAGTTGCCAAGCTTCTATAACGAATTCTTTACACAACAAAGGGCACTGCAAAGTTGGAGTTCAATGAAAAACTGTTAATGACTCAATTATGAAATATTATAGGTTGTACAAAAAACTATGAGGGAACCTGCATACCTCTACTCCAGCATTTCTTATGGCCTCTAGATTTTCAAAGCTTCCCTAATTCACAAAAAGAAAGAGAATCATAATCAACAATTGGAAAATCATTTGACAATCTGCATCTAAGCACTTCCATAATATACCAAGACTTAGTATAGTATATAGGCTAATTCTCACAGTTGATGCAACTTCCTAAACAACTCCATTATACATCCCAATTCTTGGGTGACTAATAAGAAAGTACCTACCTCCATAACTGCTAATCAGGTGTTTAGTCATTCACTTAAATGGGATGGTTGGTTTATCCTTTTTTATCAGAACAGAAATCTGTAACATAAACATATCATATTCACAAGTTTTTTCAAACACTTCAATTCCAATTTAAGGCCCTATTAGGAAAAGGATACAAATATTTTTTTTCAATTGGTGAAAAAGGATACAAATCTTTCAACATTCCTGATTAGATTCCCTTTGCATCAGAAGTAACAAAATGCTTGCAACTTTGCCAAATACTTCAACTACAATTTAAGATTCCTACCAGAAAATCATAGGAAGAAACTAATCTCAACATTGTTATCTTAAGAGTGATCATGCCTTCACCTTATTTTGGCCATTGCATTTACATTATGAAATTTAGTTACTGATAGTAACTGACTCTGATAGTGGTTACTAGATAGTAATTTTGCTATCCCCAAAAGCCATTAAGTACTAGAAAGAACATTATCCGTATTGGCAATTTGAACCTTTACCTGAAAATATTTCTGATCTGTTAAAACAATAAGGCAAGCTGCTCCACCTCTTTCATAAGCTTTGGCGATCTCAACCTGTAATGCAAAAACATTGAAAGGTTAATCCTCAATTTCAAACATTTTAACAAGGGTAAGTTACAACAAGAGTTCAAACGTTTCAGTTGCAATTTTTTCCTACTCAAAAAGTTACAACTGAAATATTTGAACTCGCTTTAATGGGTTTGATTCAATGGATGGGTTTCTTTGTCTATGGATTGAGCTAGGTGTGAGTCCATGAATAAAATGCAATTTCATAGTTGAACAAAGGCCTGCAGAGATTTTTATTAATTAAGATCTTTATAGATTATTGTCTAAAGGAGAGCCAATCTGAAACCCTATATATGGTGGAAGAAGAAAATAATCTCATGTACAGAGAACTGCATTTTACTAAATTTTTAATAACCGGAAATCTGTTGTTTTATAGTGGACCCGCTCCTCTACCCTTCTCCACTTAAATACGAGGTTTGGTTCATAGTAAGACTCAAACTCGTGATGAGCGCTTACCACACATCCGTGTAAAACTTTGCCACTGAACCAATGCCCTGGGGCTGCATTGAACAAAATTAGCCCCCTCTTTTCTCCGAGCTAACTGTTCTAATCTTGAAGACACATAGTCCCAGATGAAGACCAAATCTCTAAACGAAGAACGATTCACTTTGGTCAATATAATTATACTGCAACTTTTCACAACTTAGAGGAACAAGCAAGAGCATATTTGCATAATGCTGAAATGGAAATTGATTATGTATGCATCTCACTTTTTTCTCGATAATTTGTTGTAGGGCGCTTAAGCTTTGTAATTTTTATACAAATGGGAAATTATTTTTAAAAAAGGTAGCCCACATGATGTATTAATTTGATAAATGATGCTGTCACATCCTTTTCAACTTTTACAGTGCTGACCAAGAAAGAAGGGATACGATGTTCGATTTCTTCGGAGTAAAGAAGTAGAAACATAAAACAAGTGAAGACAGTTTTGATTGGACACTCAGTAATAGTAGTGTCTTTTCCTTCAGATGTAAATGCACGGAGATCTTTATAGATTATTGTCTAAAGGAGAGCCAATCTGAAACCCTATATATGGTGGAAGAAGAAAATAATCTCATGTACAGAGAACTGCATTTTACTAAATTTTTAATAACCGGAAATCTGTTGTTTTATAGTGGACCCGCTCCTCTACCCTTCTCCACTTAAATATGAGGTTTGGTTCATGGTAAGACTCAAACTCGTGATTAGCGCTTACCGCACATCCGTGTAAAACTTTGCTACTGAACCAATGCCCTGGGGCTGCATCGAACAAAATTAGCCCCCTCTTTTCTCCGAGCTAACTGTTCTAATCTTGAAGACACATAGTCCCAGATGAAGACCAAATCTCTAAACGAAGAACGATTCACTTTGGTCAATATAATTATACTGCAACTTTTCACAACTTAGAGGAACAAGCAAGAGCATATTTGCATAATGCTGAAATGGAAATTAATTATGTATGCATCCCACTTTTTTCTCGATAATTTGTTGTAGGGCGCTTAAGTTTTGTAATTTTATACAAATGGGAAATTATTTTTAAAAAAGGTAGCCCACATGATGTATTAATTTGATAAATGATGCTGTCACATCCTTTTCAACTTTTACAGTGCTGACCAAGAAAGAAGGGATACGATGTTCGATTTCTTCAGAGTAAAGAAGTAGAAACATAAAACAAGTGCAGATAGTTTTGATTGGACACTCAGTAATAGTAGTGTCTTTTCCTTCAGATGTAAATGCACGGAGATGTATAATCAGTTTTCTTTGTCTCCCCACNCTTGCTAGTTGCCACTATAAAGATTTAGGAATCTGTTAGATCATTGAAGTGCTAAGAGCTTGAAATAAAGGAATCAGCAAGCATATTATGCAGAAGTTACACTATCACACAACTAGAGATGATCTTGAACTAAGCCAGTCAACTAAGGGAAAGACAACCGGTACAGTTATTAAAGTACAGATGTTTGTGGTTTTTGGCTTTCTGGTGCAACATTCAAGATGTAAATGATGAAGACAGCTTGTTTGAGTTCATTAGCTCATTACAGGAAAAGAGCTTCTTTTTGTAATCAGATAGGATCCCTTCATCTTTTTTGTATAGCGGGACCTCAACTCTTGTAATTCACAAGCACTGTCTTAGTGCCTAGTTGTTTGTTATTTATAAATACACTACAAAACCAATCCAGTCAACGATGAAAAGGCTTATTTATCCGTCACCATACAGTTGCATATCACTTAGAAGTGGTAGGTCAGTATGCAAACTACCTTCATTTCAGCTGTTTTAAAAGTACATGATAAACTCTAATGATAAATATTGTGGTAGTAAACAACCCATTGCATAAAGCAAGCAGCATAATTATATCAAAATGGTAGATAATTTGATATTAACTTCTTCATCTTTCATTTCTTTTTCCAGATTTTCATCCATTGAAAGAAATACCAATTTAAATGAAACCTTTCAATTAAATGTAGCTCTAGAATACATGTCTTACAATGTCATCTTCTTCTCATTTGCTTGGCTGCTGGTAGACAGCCAAGAAAGATCAGAAATTGCCCTAAATATGACTATCACTTTTATTTGAGAAGAATATTGGAAGTTTGCTTTTCCTGTTGATCTAGTTCATAACTTTATATCACTTCAAGTCCCTTTAAAATCATTAACACATTTCCTAGAAACTGCATATAGTTCCGTAAAATGCAATTATTAAACATAAGAGTCCTTGTATAATTCAACAGAAGTAAAACCAATCAACACTACTTCAGAGGAAAAGAGCAAAAAGATAACATATTGATATTTCTTAGCTCAATGTAGAAGGTATGAGAAACTAAGTAATGTCAAACTAGAATGGTTGAAAAAGATCTAAAGCACTCAATTGACATGAAAGGGAAATGACGCACATACTGGATTAAAATCTTCACGAAGAACACCTCTACTTGGAGAAGCCTTCTTCACTTCAGCAATAAGACCAGGCAATCCAGTTCTTGAATATGATTCTTTCAGAGCTCCTAGAAAATCTCTGGTAGGCGGAGCACTGCTAAGCAGTTTTTTCAATACAATAAGAGGTTTCTTCTCTTTCATCTGGCCAAAAAAAATTGCCTTTTAGTTCATAGAATATAAAATGAAACAGGAACATGATATCATATATACCCTCAGGCGGAATTTGAGACTCTATTCGAAGAGATACCTGTGTGACTTCCTTGTCCTTGTTCCAGACAATTTCTTCAAGTATGTTACGTGGAGTATTGCCTTCATTCTGCAGCCGAAATTCAAAAGGGCCAACGTAGTGCAAAGGAGGTCCTGATGGCGGCCTCCTTCTAATTCTTATACCCTCACTTGTAGCAATTTCATCTTTGAATCTTTCTGCTTCCCACTCCTTGATTTTAAGAGCATCTCCTTCAGGAATGGTGGGTTCTGAAACCGCTGATGATCCGTCCTTCAAGTCAAATCAATTAAACCTTATCTTAGTAGAATGATCTTTACAAGAAAGGCTTGTCTCATATATCCTTGTAATGCTACCAAAAATTGCAAATAAAAATTGACCAATGGAAGTCTTATAAAAGGTTAACTCTCTATCAGAATGAAATTTTGATATTCCAAACTTTTAAGTAAATAAAAAGAGGCATGTGCGAACACATTAATTTGAGGTAAACTCTATGTAGACATCATTCTATAATGATAAAAGGACATCTTATTTTTACAAATTTTAGCAAGCCCAAACTTCAATACGCAATTTGCAAAATTAAAACAGAATATATATAGCAAAATTAAATCAATGACTGAGGCTACCTGTTGAGCTCGAACGGGTGAACATTGGGGCAGATTGCGAGCTCGGTGGGACATGGAAATAGATGTCGGAACTGACAAGGAGAATGCGGGTTTGTTGGGTCTGGGATTGGCAAGGGGTTGAATCGAGAACCGGGGTCTTACCGTCGCCGCTACAGTTGCCGCCGTTGCCGTAGTGGTTCTCAATGGCATTACAGAATCCATTATTTAAAATTAGTTGATTTCAGGCGAACTGTTCAATGGGTTTATTAAGGGGCAATTTATGTTAAAACCAAACAATACCGGATATGGAATTAGATTTTTAGATCTTTTGGGATTTTAGCCTCAGCTGCCACCCCCAACCCCCTCCTAATAACGTCCAACTGTCTCAAGCTTTTTTATTTGAGATATTTACCTCATACCACAGGATATTATTATTATTTTTAGCTTCCGTTTTATTTTCTTCTTTATTTCTTTTTATCTTCTTTTTAGTAATATTTCCTCTAAAGCATGTCAATTGAAGAATATTACATATATTGCAAGTTTGCAACTTCTTATTTTTTTTGTTTCCTACCCGATTTCCAGTACGCGCATTAGAGTCCGACTATATTTGGATTCGCATTGCGTAGGGCCCCACTCGGGAGTAAGCGCTCCCTACCAAGAATTTTTCATATTCAAAGTTCGAACTCGAGACCTCTGATTAAGGGAAGAGTAGTCTCATCCACTTCACTGCACCACATCCTCAGTGGTTGCAACTTCTTATCTTGAGTCAATGCATTCTCACATTCTTTATCTTCCTTTTTGTTTTATTCCATCTTGGTTGGGCTATAGTAGCGGAATCATGAATTTTTATCCTTTTCATCTTCTTCGTTTGGGCTAAGTAGTTGAATCATAATTCAGACACGATCGTCTATTAAAAAAAATTGGTATACATACTAACATTCCCCCGGAGAGATTGGTGGAGCAGTATAGGGAAAGGAAGAAGAACTTACATATGATATTCATAGAGCTGGAGAAAGCTTATGATAAAGTCTCGAGAGAGGTCCTATAGAGATGTATGGAGGCTAGCGGTGTCCCAGTGGCGTATATTAGGGTGATTAAGGACATGTACGATGGAGCGAAGACTCGGGCGAGGACTGCGAGATGAGACTCGGATCATTTTCTAGTGGAGATGGGGTTGCATCAGGGATCGACTCTTAGCCCATTTTTGTTTGCCTTAGCGTTAGAGGTGCTGGCGCGACACATACAAGGGGAGGTGCCATGGTGTATGCTATTCGCCGACAACATAGTCCTGATTGATAAGACGCGTGATGGAGTTAAGCTAGGTTGGAAGTTTGGAGAGAGACGCTGGAGTCTAAGGGTTTTAAGTTGAGTAGGCCGAAAACTGAGTACTTGGAGTGCAAGTTCAGTGATGGGATGCACGAAGAAAGAGTAGAAGTGAAAAATGGTACTCAAGTCGTCCCTAAAAGAGATAGTTTCAAGTATCTTGGGTCGATTATTCAAGGCAACAGAGAGATTGACGAGGATGTTACCCATCGTATTGAAGCGGGGTGGATGAGGTGGAGGCTCGCCTCAAGGGTTTTGTATGATAAGAGTGTGCCACCTAAACTTAAGGGCAAGTTCTACAGAGTGGTGGTTAGATCGCCTATATTGTGTGGGGTTGAGTGTTGGCCCGTCAAGAAGTCTCATGTCCAGAAAATGATAGTAGCTGAGATGAGGATGCTGAGATGGATGTGTGGTCATACCAGGAAGGACAGGATCAGGAATGAAGTTATTAGGAACAAGGTAGGAGTGGCATCTGTGGAGGACAAATTGTGGGAGTCGAGGCTAAGATGGTTGGGTCATGTGAAGAGGAGACATAGACACTCCGGTCAGGAGGTGTGAGAGGTGTAAGCATGTGATTTTTGCCCTATGAAAGAATTACTCCCAAAAAATTCAAAATAAAACGATTTTTCCTTGGTGTGCAATTTTTGAATTTTTGTGGTATTTTTGTATAATTATTTGTATTTTTGTCTGTGCATGTTTATTTGTTTAAATTAATAAAAATATAAAATACGTCGCATTTTCGTTTAGTATTTATTTAAGTTTGTTTTGCAAAAATGAGAAAATCATAAAAAAAATAATGTACATTGCTTTTTAGCATTTAACGTCTAAATTGTGCGATTTTATCGTTAATTGCTATTTAAATATGCGATAATAGTTATT